CAAGGAAGGTCACAAGGATCAAAGCCTCGGCGATGTAGTATTTGCGGAAAGACCGGGCATACTGCAAGGACCTGTCAAGAGTCAATTGAGGTTAATAGGGAATAGTCTAGCGATTAATTTTAATTGATCAGATATGTTGTGGTGTTTTATTTCTCTTTCTGAGTCTTCACGTGTAGATTGGTGGAGCACTCGCTTGTCTGGAGCACTCGCTTATCATGCACGTTAATGATTGGCTAATTAAATGACACTACTGGTTATTTGTCCCAACGAGGAATAGCTTAAATACCGTCACTGTTATCTTATGTTGAATCTCACCTCCTGCCACCCCTCTTGCATTTCTTTTGTTCATCTTCGCTAAGACTTCTGTATGTGGGCTACAAATTATCAATTGCTACGTACCGCATACTGTTTTGCGTATTGTAAGACAGCTATGAATGCCGTTGACGAGGCCAAGACGCCAAAGACGAGGCACTACTCTACGCGGAGTCGGAGTGGCTGCGTGGCGTGTCGCGAGAAGCATATCCGGTGTGATGAGAAACGCCCTTCGTGGTACGTCAGCTGTCAAATGGGTGATATATACGGCGGACTGGCCTGTGAGATGGTATTTTCTAACTGTCGATAGCCTGAACTGTGCTAAGAAGAAGCTACCATGCCATTATATGCCAAAGATCCCACTGCGGGAACGTAGGACTAAAGCTCGTCCTGGACAGCAAATGGTCTGGTCTGTGACCCAGGGCCAGGCAGCCGCGGTTATCACTTCTTCAAATGAGACGTCCTTGATGATGTTGCTCTCTGACGTTATGAGACCCAGCGGAGTATTTGATCCCTTCGACGCTTTGCCTATTAAGATGCCACTCAGATCAAAAGAGCTTCTGCACTACTGTTTGTTCGCTTACCCCAATTTAACCACAACCTATGACTAATCATTGCTCCCAGTCTCTCAAGCTGGGTACGGTTTCGGTCCCTTTCCCAGGAACCCAGACGATTGGTCAGCCCCTGCTCCAGATTTTGACATGGACGTATGAATATTAACAGTTGGACTGACTAGTCTTATCCCCATTACCCAGAACCCAGATCTTCTACAGAATATCTTACTGGTTTCCGGAATCCATTATGCTCGGAACAAAGGCGATCTCGCTTTATTTGAGCCCACGTTTCTTTTCCATAAGATCCAATGCATACGACAGGTCAACCTTTGGCTTGGAAGCGGGCCAGACAAAAACCTTCAGACAAAGTGTGCGCGATACATTAGCACGCTTGCCATCACAGAGGCCTGTTTGGGAGACTTTGAAGCTGCTGAGTCTCACCTCAATGGCCTTGTGGTCTACCTTGACTCCAAACGACTGCAAACAGGCCAAGACGCGAGAGGTCAGGCGGAAGATGAGCTGACCAGTCGTTATTTAATTCTGTAATAATTTATACATTTCCATAAAGACGATCATGTCTGCTAACTATCTACCTTTTCTCCTAGGGCCAAGAATGTTCTTCATAGCA